TGTTGTTGTTTGTTTGTTTTGAGTCAGGGTCTCACTATGTAGTTGAGACTGACCTGGAACTCACTATGTAGTCCAGGCTGGTCTCGAACTCACAGTGATCCTCCTGTCTCAGACCCCTGAGTGCTGGGATTACAGGCGTGAGCCACCACGCCTGGTTTAAAGCTCTTGTTTGTTAAAATGAAGGTTGAACCCAGCAATACTGTTCTGCTATGCCACTATTATTTTATGTATTTGCAAATATGTAATGTTAGTATTGATCAGTCTTTGTCATCTTTATCTGAAAATAAAGCATAAATACTTTGAGTACCTGCTAGGTGTTGGATAGCTTCACTGTAATTAACCCACTGGATCCTTACTATAATATTGAAGGTATGGTGCTATTCATATTTATGAGAGAGTCATCTGATTCTTAGATGTGAAACTACAGGTTGATTCAAGGCCTTTCTGATCCCATAGTCACTGGTGTTTCAACAAACTGTGCTGCTTCAGTAAATGAAGTAATGTGATTTTCCCTGAGACATTGAACCCTCGATAGCATTGCCCTATAACTACATGGATGTTTCGGCTCTGGTAAGGAAGGACATATCTTTTCAGAATTACTACTCCAGCAATTTCAAGGCTCATGTGCTTGGGGTCAGGAGTTTCTTGTGGCCTAACATATGTGGAAGAAGGATCATATCTTTTCAGAATTACTACTCCAGCAATTTCAAGGCTCATGTGCTTGGGGTCAGGAGTTTCTTGTGGCCTAACATATGTCTGGAAGAAGGATTCATATTTTAAAAAATTACTTCACATCTGAAGGGAAATAATATAAAGGACATATGAGTGGTCAGGATGAGAATGAGGCAGGTGATTTTCCTACTGTGTCACACATAAGACTATTCCTGTGGCTACTCTAGAGTACTGTGTTTTGATTTGGGAACTTGGGTAGGCATAGCTTGAATTAATCAGCATAGAAGCATCAGCTATTAGGAAAAGTCAGGTCTTCACTGACCATTATAAATAAGATAGAATAAAAGTTTTGATAATGGGAAGTGCTAAACAGGATTATTTCTTACTTTAAAAAATTTTTGCTAGTACATGTTTGTAGTACCTGATGATTAAATTCTTTGTGGTTGGTTCGTGTACATAACACAGCTCACTTCTTTATTCATCACCTTCCCCTTTCTCCCCCGCACCTTGGTCCCTTTCCCTTTTGCAGAAGACCTATCATCTCCCCATTTCCTGTTGTTCATTTTTTATTTTGCTCTTTATTTACATTTTGAGTTTCTCGAATAAGAGAAACCATGTGATATCCAAACTTATGTGTCTGATCTATATTTCTCATGTTACAAAGTCAAGTACAAAGACTAGAGTTACAGATTACTCTGCTGTAGCTTTGCCTGTATCTTTCTATGCTTCCATTTCTCTAGCATAAAAAGTAGCTTCAAGAATGCTTAGAGCTTAGTCAAAGACACAATATAATATAGTTGCAAATGAAGAATCATATTTGTATGTTTGTGATATGTTCATACTTAGGGAAGAAACAGTCAGTAGAAAAATAACTTTCCACAGGTATTAATGAACTGCATGAGATGGTACGATGGTTTGAATATGATTTGTTCCCTCTGAAACTCATGTTAGAATTTAATCCCCACTGTGGGTATTAAGAGAATGGAAACTTAATCTGGCTGTAGTGTTCAGAGTGGGACCTTTGGAGGTGATTAAGATTAGATAAGGTCATTAGACTGGAGCCCTCATTATTGAATCCTCTGCCTGCCCCTCTCTCGCAGACCTCTTTCTTTCTGTTTTTTCGGTACTGGGGACTAAACCCACAATCTTTGCACAAGCTACCTCGTAAGCCCTTTTTAATTTTGAGACAAGGTCTCGCTAAGTACTAAATTGTCCAACCTGGGCTCAAACTTTCTATCCTCTTTCCTAGGCCTCCCAGCATGCTGGGATTACAGGCCTGTACCCGAACCCCTGGCTGAATCCTGTTGGTTTTGGATAAAGAGATAGAGAGACCTGAGGATGCGCACACACACACACATACACTCCCTGGCTCATGTAATGGAATGGCCTGTACTGCCTCAGGACTCTGACAGGAGGGAGGACATCAATAGTTTTGGGTCTTGGACGTAGGACCAGTCATGAGCTAAAATAAATCTCTTTTCTTTATGTTACCTAGACTCAAGTGGTTCATTACAGTGATGAAATGGACTGACATCTCTGGAGATGAGGATGGTACAATTTATTTATTTATCTTGGTACTTGGAATTGAACTCAGGACCTCGCACTTGCCTGGCAGGTGCAGTGCCAGTGAGCTACATCCTGGCCCCATTTTCCCCCCATTTTAAACTTTTTAAAAATATTTTATTTGTAAAATTTATGATTGAACAGAAAATTAACTTCCCTTAGCTTGATTGAAATGTTTTAGTGAGGGAGAGAAAGGATAGCAAGAGAAGGTAGTGGAGAGGATGGATATGACCAAGGCAGAATTTATACATATAAGAAAATGGTACAGAAAAGTCCATTAATTTGTATGAGTAACAATGGTTAATAATTATAATTAAAAATAAAATATAAAAAGTGATTTTAGTGTAACTGGGCTTAAAAATTGTTCCTTTAATGTAAATATATTCCCCTATTCGCTCATTCATCCTTTCATTAATGTAACAAATGTGTACGTATTAAGGACCCATTTGTGCCTGCACAGAAGTTGGGAATTTCATAATGAATAACGCAAAAAGGAAACGTCTTGGGGGAGCTTATATTCTAGTGAAGTTGACAGGAAAGCAGATAAAAAAAATGCCACAAAAGTACGTAGCAGATAGTAGATGGTGATAAAGCAAGAAAGCAAAGTTCTTACCACATGAAAGCACAAGCTGATTTAAGTCCTTTCCAGTCCCATATTTACCAGTGTTTTCAACAAATTATGTGGCTTCCATAAGCATTGGAAAGAAAACTCAGGGTTAATGACATTCACACCCACATAGTACAGAAGAATAGAAATCTGATGACAGAGTATCTTAGTCAGAGTATCACAGGTTGGTAATTAGAGCAGAAATGTATTGCTCAGAGTTCTGGAGGCTGGGAAGTCAAAGGGCAGGGCGCCAGTAGGCTTGGGGTTGGAGATGCATTCTTCTCTTCCAAGATGGCACCTTGAATGTGGTATCCTCCGGGTGGGGGGATGAAGGCCGGAGCCTCACATAGCAGAAAATGCAAAGGCCAAGAAAGAGCCTCCTTCCGTAAGGCCTTGTGGAAAGACATTGACACCCATAGCCTAGTCACCTCTTAAAGATGTTAGCTCCCAAAACTAGTACATTGGCATTTAAATGTTAGCATGGGTTTTGGAGGGGCCAAGCATTCAAACTTAGCATAGTAACTGCTGACTGGCTAATATTATGAAAATTTCTATTAGGTTTAAAATGAACAGATACAAAACAAAAATTATAGTGACTTATTAAGATAGAATTATGGTTTGGCCTCATTTTGATTTTAAAATATTAGCCTAAAATGCTGTATATGATGAAAATGCATGATGAAAAGATTTTTAAAAAGTCATGGTTTGGGAGCTTAAGAAGAGATTGATGCAAATAAATGTTTTACTAATAAATGGATTTTTTTTCTGATAAAAATAATGATGAGAGGTAAGTCATAATATTAGCCTAAAATGCTGTATATGATGAAAATGCATGATGAAAAGATTTTTAAAAAGTCATGTTTTGGGAGCTTAAGAAGAGATTGATGCAAATAAATGTTTTACTAATAAATGGATTTTTTTTTCTGATAAAAATAATGATGAGAGGTAAGTCAGAATAAGGCAGGGAATTGTCATTTCTTTTTTTTTTTTTTTTTTTTTTTTTCTTTGTGATACCAGGGATCGAACTCAGGTCCTTGCATTTGCCAGGAAGGTGCAGTGCCACTGAGCTATATTCCCAGACCTCTGATCAATTAAATAGGAATCTGTAGGTGATTTTCACCTTTCTTATTTCTTCATGGTTTTTTGTGTTAAAGTAATGAAGGGAATTAGTTTAAAGCAATAAGGGCATAAGAGGAGATCCTATGTTTTCAAAATGTCTCAAACATTCTCTTTTTCTTAATACACACACACACACACACATGTATTTAATAACTTGGAAAGATGTATGCAAAATAAAAATAATGACTACACTTCATTCTCCCTTTATGTCAGCAGCATTTGTGATCATACACTTGAATCATTTTAATAACTTTAAAAAGTAACTTTTTTATAACCTTGAAAAGATAGTCAAAATTTTATACAAATTTGATTTATTTTGAAATACATTTTAAAATTTATGCACTAAACATAAATAATGAAGATATTTGAAAAGATGTGACTTGTAGAGTGCTGAAATATACATGTATTTTATAAAATTTTACAGAAAAATTTATGATGGCATATCAAAGATACTCGTTGAATCATTTTTATTTTAATATACATAATATGGAGTAATTATGGGAAAAAGAGTATAGACAGCATATTTTCATTAAGATATTTTCACCTAACTACTTTCAATGAAAATATTTCTTTTTAAATTATACTACTAAAATTCAGATTGAACATGAATGTATTTTTAAAATTTCTAACAAATAGCTAAGGTGAAAAAAAACCTTTTTTATTGTGAATTTGTGTAAAGCTGAACAGCTGAGAAAATAATATGTGGCTATTTAATCATGAACTGTACAAAAATAATTTTAACTTTTTGTAATTTCAGTGCATTTCTCATAAAATACTTGGCAAATGAAAGTAAAAATCCCTGTGATTTCCTAATAATTACAGGGTGACTTTGAATAAATAAATATAGAAAGTAAACAGTACTGTTAAAATGTGCTTCCCCTTACCCTAAATCATGTGCGTGTAATTGCTCAGTTTGAGAACTGGATCCAGCTGAACCCCTGGGGTTCACTTTGACTTCCTAAGGTGAACACTCGTCATCATTCTCACCTGGAACTTCATCCAAGAGAAAGCTTAACACTGGTGATTGTTTATTTTGTAGGCTTCAAAGAAGCTAGAGTGCCAGAGAAGACCTTTGAAGTGTGAAAATTCCTGTAGTTGAAACAAAAATGTCATTTATAGATCCTTATCAGCACATTATAGTAAGTCATTTACTGTTTATGTATTCTTTCGGCGGGGGGCTGATATGTTTCTGGTTATGTGTATTGCTGGTGTTGCTAGTAAAGCAAAACTCTATGACAACTCCTTGGATTTGTTGTTAAACTCGTGAATTAAATGTGGTATAAAATAGGCAATGGTACATAATAAAACTAACTCCTAATCTTTTTATCACTGGAGTTTCCAGAACAGAAGGACTTGGGAAAAATTACCAAAACATCTGTAACAATACTGAACTTCCAGAAACAAGATAAAATGTGGTTAGTACTTAGCAACTATCACACTATAATTACACCCTTCATATAACTTAGTGGAGAAGAGATAAATGAATTTCTGAGTTCAGGGTATACTTTGGTATGTATTTCCAGAATAACTAAATCTGTAAACTTTCCCTTAGAAATGTTTAAACAAACTCTTCTGTGGTTGGCTAGGTTTTAGTGAAGCGTTAAGTAATACAAACTTTACTAATTGAATGTAATTTTCCCAGCTACATAGGAAATATACATTCTTCTGATTAAAAAAAAAGGAGAGGCTTTCTTGTTGAATTAAACACAAGAGACTCAAGTTTATATGAACTTGAAATGGGATTTATGGATATTAAAGGATAATCAATCCATTGCCCCATTTTTACATAAATTGAAATGCTTGCTTTTCCTTAAATCCTTTTCTAACTACCATCCTCTTTCTTGCACTGGATGGATGGTAAGATTAATATGTTACAATTTTTAACTTGAATTCTTGAAAATTACACTCTGCACCTTTTCCATGACAGTCTCCAGGAATGTTTTCTTCAATGCTAAATCTTCAGTGTTCTCTGCCCTTCCCTGCTGGTTATTTCCCCTCTTCCTGAAACTCCCCTCTTCTGAATTCTTTGGTTCTTTCTTTTCTGTTTTCTTGTTATTGGATATGTCTCAGCTTTATTTTAAAAGTTTATTTTTGAAAAAATGGAGTGTAACAAGTATAAATCTTAATTATTAGTACTGATTGATTTGTACATATATGTGCCAACCATTAAACCAGCAACCAGTTAAAAATGTACATTATAAGCCCTCCAGAACACTGGCCTATGTCTCTTCTAGTCAACAAAAGTTCGAGAAAAACAGTATTTCAAATTTATTATCACAGGTTAATGTTCCTTGCTTTTGACCTTCTTATAGACATTTGTATTCGACACTGTAATTCACTAGCTAATTTACTAATTCATATTCTCACTGAGTGGCAACAGGGATCTGCTGTAAATAAGGCAAACATATATCTTTTCTTTTTGGTTGGTCTTTTGGTCTGTATTTGCAGTGATACCAAGTTATCCTGATTTCTGTGGCTATAAAATGTGTCTATATAAGATGCACCAATGGCTACTTTTGTGTTTGTGTATGGAACATGGCTTTCATAACATTATCTTGGTTACTTTTACTCCTTTGCATCCCCCCCCCACTTTCTTTTTCTTGCCTTGAACTCAGTATATAGTCCAGGCTGGCCTCAGGCTCTTGGCAAACCTCCTGCCTCAGCCTCTTACATGTTGAAATTACTAGCATGTGCCATTATATCCAGTTCCTTTGCATTTTCATATAAGCAGTTTGTCCATTTATACATATACACTCCTCTAGAACACCCTGCCTCACACATAAAATTGCCTGGATTTTGATAGAGACTATAATGATTTTATAGATCAGTTAAGGGAGATATGATACAATGATATTAAGTTTTTCAATCCATTAACAACCTATTTCAAAGCAAAATGTTACTTAAATCTTTTATCTTTTGTTCAGTTGGCAATATATTGTAATTTTCAGGAAGAAATTATATATATAT